TGAGAACAGGTTACACTGCTGATGTTTTAAAATGCAACTTTTTAGTTGCAATAAAAAGATATCTTTTGTTGAAAAAAAATCAAAATTTTAACAAAAATATATATTTTTTCCTTTTTAAATTAAAAAAACAAAAACAAATAAACAAAACACTCAATAAAACAAAACCACCAAAAACAAAAACAACCAGAAATCTCAGGGCCTTGCCCACAAGACTGGGATATTGCAGGACATTGGCTCAAAAGAGTTTTTACCATCACTAGTAGACAAAAAATATCCCAAGTGGAGGAATCCTACTTAGAATAGTTTATAAATAAATGGAGTGAGGTAAAGGATATTTTCAGGGGTAAAAAAAAAGAGCTATAAAGTTATTGCTAAGGCAGTAAAAGCAGTGGCAAAGGGTTTTGTTAATCTCAGAGCTGTTGTCACAGGATGGCTCTGCCCAGGTAGGACCAGCCCAGGTAACACCAACTCACAGCATCCTCAGCAGAGGTGAAGAGGCAGGAACAGCAGAGGAGCAGAGCCTGAAGAGCCAGAGGGAACACAAGGATCCAGGAGAGAGGTTCAGCCAAGAAAAATGAAAAATGAGAGCAGGGAAGTTTAGAGGGAATGTTAATGTTACCTGTCACAGGTTAGCAGCAAACAGAGCCCTCAGGATTTCAGCAGTTTAAGATGGAAGGAGTCAGACAGTTCATCAGGCTTTGAGGAAGGATTTCCTCAGCTCTTCACAGATTTTCTATAATTATTTAACTTAGCGCCAATGAGCCATCAGAATACTTATGTCCTATTTTAAGTCTAAACCTCCACTTTAGACTTTAACAACAAAATTTAGGTCTTCAAACCAGCAAACCCAGCTTCTTTTAGGACTTGCTAACCTTGAAAGACCATTGTCCAAGAGATCCACCTCCAGTTCTGCTCCTGGCCATGCCCAGAACTGCAATTCAACCTGTGCCACCCTTCACCTGTGACCTGGGCTGGACCTGCAGGTCAAACCCTCTGACCCCTGTCACTGCTCAGGGCTGCACCACAGGCCTTGTACATCCCCTGCCATCCCCAAAACTCAGAGCCAGGGCTGTAAACCCCCTCTGAGAGCTCATCCCAGTCATCCACTTCTTGCCCGTGGCTGTGAGGTGTGGGTTGTCCTCTTCACATCACCCTGAGCCTGGGGTGACTCCACCAGGAGGGGTCTGGGCTCCTGGAGCCTCCCACTCCTCAGGGGTTCCACACGTTGAAATCCTCACTGAGCACAAATCCAGGAGACTCCATCACCTTCCCCAGGCACTCGGTCTCTTCCTGCTGGCCCATTCAGATGGAGAAAGAGGAAAAGCTAAAAGAAGGCAAAGTTGCACAGTTAGAGCCCAAGGGGAAGGAGCGGCACATTTCCAATGGGATCACAATGCTCCTTTGCTGAGAGCTGCTGGAATAAACCAAAGGATCCCCTCCAGCAGCTGAGTTTGCAGTGCCACAATGTCCCACGACACACAAGGACCTCTGTACTGACATTGTAAAGGCAGCAGGACTTTTCTTGAGCAGCCAAACCTCTGACTTCCTCAATTCCTTTCATTTCTGGGCATATTGAAACTGGGCTATGAGAGTCAATATTGCCAAACTAGACAGAGTGATGTGATTGAAAAGCCCCTCAGTTAATAAAACTGTCACTCAGCAGCACAAGGAGGTATCTATGAGTGAAATTTTGAAATTGTACTCTTTTGGGTAACTGTCATTTGCTCTTAGAAATTACATTTAAAATTAATGTTTGCTGTAGAACTTATAAATATTTGTTCAGGCTAGCATGAAATATGCCCAGGATAATTTTAGCATGTACGCATCAGATTTTCATTTCACATCAGAGAAGACTCAAAGTGAGTCTGTTCCATTCACAGCCAATGGAGTCTTCATCCCTGGGAGACAGGTCCTCCTCCCTGGGGAGCTGTGCCTGCTGCCTCAAGGCTTTGGGGACCAAGGCTGACACAGCCAAAGACACAGCTGAGAACTGCCTTTGGTTTTCTGCTCCTTTTTCTGCTCATTTCACTGCGAGAATCTGGAAGTCTCCCGTAGTTAGATCAGGGACAGGCAGGACCTTCTGCTCCCAGATCTCCACTCCAAAGTAATTATAGACACACTCCAAACACAGTCTCCTCACAGAAAGTGGGGCAACACAAATTCCTTATGATGCTGGGACAAGCAGATATTTAGAGAGCAGTGGAATGGACAAGTTAAAGGATTTGGGGGTATGAGCATCTCCAGAAACTTCCTCAGACACCTGTCAGAGCCATGGAGAGCATTCCCATGAATTCAGTGTGCTTGGGATCAGCCTTTCACTGTGCATCTTTGAGGACCTGCCCATGGCCACATCAGTGTGTGGGAGCTTTGTGTCTCTGCTCTTGCTCTAGCACAGCCTGTCCCAAGGCACACTGAGAGCTCTGCCCCACCACAACAGCAAACAAACCTCTGAACTTGGATCTGGGATCACTTTGCCTCCTAGCTCCTGCAGAGGAAGCACATTGTAGTTGATTATTGGCTTGGTTTATAAATACCAGCACCCAGAAATGGATAAGGAGCATTTTGTGTTCCCCAGTGTCTGATGGACAGGAATGTCTCAGCCACCACAGAATCACTGAGGTTGGAAAAAAAATTTAAAGGTCATCAAGTTCAACCATTAACCCAGCACTGCCAGGTCCACCCAGACCTTGATGATGGTCTCCAACCAACACCAGCTCAATTCAGATCTCCCCAGCTGGATTCAGATCTCCTACAGTGTCTGAGGATTTTCTCCTCTCCCATGGGCTCAGCCACCTCCAGCATCACCTGAGACATCCCACTTCAGTCTCTCCATTTGCTGCCTCTCTAGAAGTGACACTTCAATGACAAAAATTCTGTCCCTTGGTACTTTTAATCCTTATTCTGTTTGTGCAGCTCCGAAACATCCACCAGTACAAACCTGGGCAGCACTTCCAGTTCTGCTTTTGCCAGAGCAGCTCCCAGGCACTTCAGGGCATTTCACACAGCCCAGGGCTTTGTTTAGGCAGGAAGGGAAGACTGCCTGGGACCTTTCCCTGGCCCTGGAATGAGGCAGACAGGGGCACCTTCATCCATCCTGAGAAACTCCCTTAAGCTCCAGAACAGGTGGGTCATATCTTAAGGGTCTATTTGGAATAGTTCCTGTCCCACACTAACCCCAAACTGTGACTAAAATCTGCTTAGGGCTGGGTAATTTGGCTGGGCCAGCTCCACACCAGGGTCCATCTTCATGGTTAAAAATATGGGGCAGTAAATTTCAAGATCTGGAGAAGATTTCCAGCTAGTGTTAAATTTACTGGAGCAGCTTAAATCCATGTGTCCCCAAATGTCACTGGACAATTGCTGCTTTCTTAGACCCAGTTCAATAAAACCCATCTGGGTTCCAGGGAGATTTGCCAGGACACCCAACATCCCCTTTGGGATTCAAAACCCCCAAAAGAACAGTAACATTTAATACCTATGGTGGGTCACAGTCAGCTGGAAAACTCCCTCCAGGAGTAAGCATGGAGGAATTTGGCCTCACAGTCCCTGCAGAAGGTGCAGGCAGTGATGGAGAGGGGAAGAGTGAGCAGCTGCTGTGTCCTCCCTTGGGTGTGCCATGTCCAGGGCAGCAAGCACCCCTTCTGAGAGCAGCACTGCCCCAACTCAGCACCCACACACCAAAATCAGGCAGAACTGGCAAGCAAGAATGGCAGAAGCAGGAGGCAGGTGCATCACAGAATCATGGAATGATTTGGGTTGGAAGGAACCTTAAAAATCACCTCATTCCACCCCTGCCATGAGCAGGGACAGATTCCACCGTCCCAGGGTGCTCCAAGCCCTGTCCAACCTGGCCTTGGGCACTGCCAGGGATCCAGGGGCAGCCAGAGCTTCTCTGTGCCAGTGTGCGATTAAACACAACAAGGAATTTATTTGTGCTCAGAGCCTTAAGATCCAGAGAAGGTCTAGAGCTTTCAAAACCATGAGATGCCTTGAGCTGCCCAAGACAGGACCTTGAATCTCCATTACTGCCATGACTCTGAAATAAATTGATTTGTTGGCTGCTCCTAAAGCACCTGATCTCCAGGTGGTTCCACCCCGGGCAGCCCCAGGGCAGCAACAGAGCTGTGGTTGCTGAGATGCTTTAGAAGAAAAAGCAACTTGTTTGGCTTCTCCCATTTCTTTGTCCCATTCTGTCGAGTCATCTCCGAGCACAATAGCTCCTGCTAAAAGAGGCTCTCTACCCAATAACAAGGATTTTTAAGTAAAATCTTTGTTGGGTCTAATTGCAAATCATGAAACTGATTAGGGTTTTGTTTTTTTTTTTTTCTTTTAGGGTTACATGTGTAGGTTTTTGATAATATTTTCATCTTCCTGCATCCAGAGATGCACTTCACAAGCAATCCATTTGTGGGACACGTCCCCATCTGCCTGCTCCCCTCTCACCATGACATGGCTTTTTTTCCTCAATAGAAAGCCAGGCTGCCCCTGCTCCCCCCTCCATCCATCCATCACCCCCACACGCTGAAAACCTGGGCACTGCAGGTTTCATTTCAACTTTATCACCAGTTTTGCCCACACCGCCACATGCAGAGGATTTTCTGCCCCTCTGTGCCCCCATCCCTGTCCATCTGAAGAACAAGTTCTGTCTCACTCCCACTGTGAGATAAAGCCACCCCTCACTAGAGCCACCCTTCATCCTTACCTTGCACTGAGTCCTGGCACTCAGGGGCAGCACATCCTGGGCTCCAAGTCAAATTGGGGGGCAAAAAAAAAATATTAAAAATTAAAAATATCAAATCCTCGCCCCAAATAGCAGTGCCCCAGTAGAGTGTGGTGCACAGAGGGTTTGTCCGTGGCAGCCAGGGCTCGGAACAAAGTTGTGGGATGGAGGGGGAGGAGAGGCTGATTGACAGCCCTGGGCTGAGCCTCATCCCTCACCTTGGGCCATGCGGTCTGATTGGCCGCCTGCTGACATCCCCGAGCCCTGCACTTTTTAATAGACGCTTTTGGATGATCTACGGGGGAAAGGCTTGGAGAGGTGTGTTTCTGACAAGCCAGAAAGTCATCCGAGCCACCAGGGACTTGGCTTCCCTCTTTTTACCCCCCCCTTTTTTTTCCCTTTTTTTTTTTTTTTTTTTTTTTTTTTTTCCTGGGAGGAGGGGGAATTCTTCATTTTGGCACTTCATGTTTTTCTGAAAACTTCGCGGCGATTTTCCCCTTGCACCAGCCTGGACTAATGGATTACCACCTGCTTGGACTAATTCTGTCTTTTCTCTTCAATGGCACAAAGGTCTTAGCCGGTTACCCAATTTGGTGGTAAGATTCCTTCCTCCCCTCGTCCTTCCTCTCCCTATGATTGATTAATGAATTCATTAAATATTAGCCATGGGAGCTGCGTGTTCCTTCCTTTTCACCCCTCGCCCTGCGGAGCTGCCCACGGCTGCATGGTGGAGTTGAAGCGTAATTTCTTCGGATTTGACCAGTAATTAATGAAATCAGGGAAAAGTTTGGGGGTTATTTTGAAAGGGTTTCCCTTTGCGCAAATGGAGGCTTCCCTACCACTCTTAATTTCTCCATTTTCGGCACTATAAGCGATGGGCTCTTGGTTCAGATGTGAAAGGATGCGGTTTTATTTCCTTGTGCAATGGGAATTTTGTCTCTCACATGACTCTGCCACAGGGATTTTCTTCCTTTCCATGAAAATGCAATTGATCCTTAAAGAAAAATTTAATTCTATTTTCTGTTTGGTTGCTGCGTTTTTTGGACTTCTTTCCCTTCTTTTGTTGTATTCTGTCATGTGAATTTAGACCGGCAAATAACGCAAATGGCACCTGAGAAAACATTCATTAGTAAAATTGCTCAAAGGTGGATTTTGTTAATTTTAATTATAGAAATATCGCTAATTTCTTTGCACCAACGAGAAAAATAAATTTTAAAAGAATTGGTTGTATCTTGTAATAAGGCTGATAAGTAATCTGAGTTACTTATTTTAAAAGTAAATCTAACTCTATATAAATTAATACAGTAACAAAATGCAATTGGAAGCCCTTTAGAACAAGAAATATAGAATTAAATATTCCAGGTCATTTAAATCCAGCAGACAGCGAGTTGCATAACAGAATATTTCAGTTTATTTCTGTCTTTATGTAGGATTTCTTGCTGGAATATCTCTTGTTAAGTTTCTGTATGTGCCAGGTAGGGGCTGTGAGCCTGGTGATCCGTAGGGAAAAGAGGGAGATGGTGGAATTTGGTGATACTCAGATTCTTGGGTTATTTTCGCCTTTCCAGAAAAGTCTCTCTTCTTTATTACTGAATTCAATCCTTTCAGTGCCAGCATGGAGATGGCAAGAAGTAGGTGGGAGTGAACTTGGGAATGGACTGCCATGTCTGGGAATATTTAGAATTCAGGAGGGAAAAGACGAATTTTTTTTTTTTTTTTTTAATAATCCATTTATTACTGTGGACTTTGGGAATGAGAATGTGCCATTCCAGAGGAGAAAGACTGAGAGCACAATGAGAATTCCCCGCTCAGGAAGCGTTTCAAAGCTCCGCAGGTTCATGAAATGGCTAAATCACAGCAGGTTTTCCTGGAGAATTAAATTATTTCCTCGCCTTGAGCGTGGCTGCCGAACTTCAGGCCCTCAGCCCCGGGCAGGGGAGGCTCCTGAAATACAGACAGCAGCACTTTGATTCCTTCCATCCCTTCTCTCCCCCATCTGGGCACCGCTGTGCGGGCACGGGGCACGCGCTGGAGCAGGTCAGGGTGCCAGGGCTGGGTCTGAAGGCAGGAGCTGCCTGGGGCAGGGGCACCTCGCCATGCCATCAGCTCATCCCACCAGCTCCTGAGCTGCCTCAGGCTTTGATATAAATCAGGATTTAATGCCCAAATCAAGGAGGGTTTCAACTCTCAGAGCGAGGAACCGAAAACGATGAAAAGGTCTCGTTTTCCCCTTGAAGCAAAAATGTCCCCATGAGCAAAATGTCTCCTGTGCCTGCTTTCAGGAGCAAACGCTGCAGACAGGTGTCTGCCCCATTCCCTTCTCCCAAACCCCTCTGAGTTCACCCCAAAGGAACAATTCAGAGGATGTAGGGCACAGACACCAGGGCATGGCAGGCAGCATCCCTGGGAAAGGAGGGAGTCAAACACCCTCTCCACAGAATTTCATCCACAGATCCAGGTTTTGCATATTTTTGTAGATTCTGGCAACACTGACGTGCCAGAGAGTCTCTGCTGCTCTGGAGGGACATGAGGAGGTGCCCCTTGTAGGGCTGAGGTTGCAAATGCTGTGGGGTTTTAGAGGTTTCCTGAAGGCTGAGGGAGCAGGAGGGCAGGAATACCTGGGCCAGGGCTCCCTGGTGCTCAGGCACGGACATCAAGGTCTCCTTTGGTCCCATTGAAGGCTTTCAATATCTGCTCTGTGGAAATGAGGTTTATGTGGTAGACTCTGGCACAGTGTTCTTAAAAATACATCATTTTCCAGTTGTCTTCCTGATCCTCTGATCATTAGGCAGGCACAGAGGAGGCTTTGGGGGATGAGCCCCATTGCAGGGCTCAGCACACCCCAAAACAAGGCAAGGAGAGCAAAGGTGGGGCTCAGCATCAACCTGGTCTCCTGTGCTGGTGTCCTGCAGCCCTCCAGGCCAGGCTGGACTGGGGCTCCCCAGTTAAACCCATCTCTGTAAATCTGAGATCATCTGCTCATGTGGCAGGGCCCCAAGGATGCTGACAGGCAGTGCCCTGTCCTGCTGGCACCACCTTCCTGGGGATTTTCCTGCTGGATAGGGAATGTTTTGGCAGCAACATCAAAACAGATCCTTTCTGCTGTGGGACAGAAATGAGAAAAAGGTTTATTCCTGTGGTGGGGAGGAAGTGCCTGTGTGTGCCCTAGGAAGAGTGATGAGAATGGGGTCTGATCGCCTTGGAAATGGGTTAGGGGTGGCTGGAATGATCCTGCTGCTCCACTGTGCAGCCAGACAATGCCAGGAGCAGTGACACTGCAGGGGATAAAGGCAAAGGGATGGAGCTGCTGAGGGTTTGTGGGATGTGTTTTACTGAGGGGCCAGGGAAGGACGTGGTCCTTCACCTTGTCCAGAGGGAGGAGAGCCCAAGGGCAGCCCTGGAGCTCTGCAGAGGGGTCCTGCCCCAGCTCTGGGCACAGGCTGCACAGCAAAGGGAAGGTCCTTGTTCTGCAAACCCAGAGCTTGGGGTCCAGACCTGCTGGTGGCAGCAGGATGGAGAAGCCAAAGGGGGTTTCAGCCCAGCTGGATTGTTGGAAACTCCCTGACATCGCCCTGTCCCCAGCCAGGCAGCTCTGAGTGAGCTCCAGGGGTGGCTCAGGCTGTGGATGCAACCTCCAGTGAGGTATTTTGACACGGGTCCAACCCTTCTTCACATGCTGCCATCCCATTAGAGCCGTGAGAGGGAACAAATGGGGCACAGATGGGAAAAGGTCAGCGAAATGCTGCCTGTGAGTGCTGACAGGAGGCGCTGAGGCCAACAAAGCTCCCTCACAGACGTGTCCAACACTTTGGCTGTCTGGTTAGTGCTGCTAAAAGAGAAGGAGGAGATGGGCAGCTGTGGTGGGCACCACAGACCAGGCTGCTGTTCCTCCTGACCCCCCAGGAGTGGTGTGGGTGGGGGCAGAGTGGGCAGTGGGGCTGTGGGCAGCGAGGGGCAAAGCTGGGCTGACCTGTGGCTGTCCATGAAAGCAGCCCTCAGCACCTGACTGGCCACAAGTGTTCGGGATCTTGTGGCTCTGAAGGGTTTTGTGGGCTGCAAGGTTTTCTTCAGCATTTTTCCCAGCCAGGTTTAGCCAGTGGGAATCCCTATCCCCGCCCTGCCAAGTGGGATGGTCAATCCATGCCATGAGAGCCAGAGCTTTTGGAGCTGGGATTCAGGGCCATCCTGACCAGCAGGACAGCCCCAAGCAGATCTCCAAGGATGCACAGCCTCCTGAGCCTCAGCACACCCAGCACTTGGCAGGACTTCCAGGTGGCATCTCCTGCTGGTTTTGTCCCTCCCCTGTGCAGAATCCCAGCGTGGTTTGGGTCGTTTTGTTCCACCCCTGCCCGTGGAGTCCTGAGCTTCAAAATGCTCCCAGAGCAGGGCGGTACAGAGCAATGAGCACTGTGACATTGCTGACCTTCAGGGAAGTCTCCTTCCCTCAGAAATGAATCCCTCACATCTCCTGGAGTGCCCCAGCCCCAGGACAGGGCCAGGGCACGCCTGGAGCCACAGGAGCCCAGGAGAAGGGCTCTGACTCGCTCAAGAGCCGTACTGCCCTTAAGACACAAACCTCTGTCCTGTAAGTGAAGTCAGGAGTAAATTTAAGTGGCCACAAAGAGTTCTGGAGAAGCTGCTTAAGTTCCTCATTTGACTCCTTCACTAAGTTTGCCAAAGTGAAGCACTTCCTAAAGGCAACCCAGGGAAGAGCACTTGGGAGCTCAGGGGGGATTTTTGGCCACCCCACCCTCTCAGCTGGTGGTGCTGGGGTGGGGGAGCCTCAAACCAGTGATTTTCTGTGCCAGCTGTGCTCCTGCTGAGCCACTGCCCCAGCCCTCGCCCTGATGGGGTCAGGTAGGAGCTCACACCCTGTGACAGAGTCAGGGAGATGCCTTGTGAAGGCTGACCTAGAACAGAGGCTGGGGGAGCTAAAGAATAAAGTAGGGATTTATTAGGAGTATCAATGGATCCCCCTTGGGCAGCACCAGAGCCCAGCCAGGGCTGCACCCCAGGTGAACCAAAATGGTCACAAAATACCCCACTGGTCATGGGGTCTCTCACTTTTATCAGTTCTGCTCCTTTTGCACCTTGGAGTTCATTGTCCAATTCCAGCTCCAGCCCAGGCAGTTCCATCCTGTTTGTTTTTCTCTCTCCAGCCCACGTTGTTTGTGCTCCTGGGCTGAGATTTGGATCATTTGTCCTTGGTCCCCAGCTGGAGAAGGAATTGTTTTGTCTCCCTGCTCTGTGAACAGAACTCACCATCCCCTAATACAAAGCCCAGAGCCACCCACTAAAGCAGCACAGAACCTGAAAAATATAAAAACTAAAAGCTGAGGCATCACGGGGATGGTGACAGGAACAGAACTCACAGCTGGGCTCACCTCACACCCACTGAGCTGAGGGGCACTTGGGGCTCCCGTGCTGCTCTGTGGAGGCAGCTCAGGAGGGATGCAGAGAAACTGGAGTGTCGGAATCTGTGGGTGTTGGTGATTCCGAGATTGTAGAAAGTCTCTGTCTTTCTGCCCCGTTGCCAAAGAAGAAGCCATAATTCGTCTGTGCTGTTTTCAAGGTTGTTTATTCTGTTTATCTCTAA